ACTATAAGCTACAATTTAAGCAGGCTGTCTGTAGTAATATTATGAGTAATGAACTTTAATTTATTTTTTACTAATTGGTTAGTTTTTCTTTTTCTAAAGACAATCAATAATATCATGACTTCTACTAGAAATAGTTTTCTTGATTTATTAAAGGCAATTGTTTATTAAAGACAATAGTTTTCTTGGTTGCCTTCTTAACCATTAGCCTTATCCCAACTTTTAGGGCTGGCTTTGTGGGTATTCATTCTCAATTAACCTCTACTAAGTGTTGAAAAAATGTTAAATATATTGCCTTATTCTCTAGCTACAATATTATCACACATCTTTTAGGTCCATACTCTAACTAATGTTGTGCTTTTTCAAATTAACTGAATTTATTTGTTAACCTTATCTTCAATAGATATTACATGCATAAGAAAGATTTTTACTTCAACATGTTCAAGTTTAACGAAAATACAATAGTTAATGGCGAACATACCATAGTTAGAAACCCTTCCCACATGCCAAATTTGGCAAATGAAGATCCCACCCTTCTCATGGACAGCATTAACAATAGGCTTCCAGGCCTCCACCTGCTCTTTGGTCCATATCCCAGGAGTTCTTGGGTACCTAAACAAGCACAAAAGCAAAAAAGAAAATCAGAAGATAATACACATCTATTAAAGATTATGCTTTATCTATGACTAAATTATTAGATGTAGATGTGTATTGAAAGATTATGCTTTATTTAGCAATCACATATCTTACCCTTGAGCTGTGTCAGAAATTCCAGTGGCTTCTGCTATTAGAAGTCCCCCTTTTGTAGCTCTCTGAGAGTAGAACAGAACTGCATGAGGCTGTGGAACGTTGTCATAAGACCTGCACCTTGTCAAAGGAGGCATGACCACCCTGCAAAATACATATGCCTCATAAGTGATGATGTTCAAAGATTATAAAATAAAGCTCATGTTTAGTTCTTTATCATAGAAACAAATTAGGCATTTCCCATGATTGCAACCTGTGTGACAAATGGAATTTGCCCAACTTGTATGGTGTGAGAAGTGGGATCTTTTCTGCAGAAACTGAGCCCATCTTTTTCTCTTTTGCTTCCCTTTCCTAAAAAAACTTTAGACTGGAATTATAAAGCTTTGTCTGGTTTATACAACGAAAAGTTGTAACAAAGATAGAATGTTATTTTGAGAAATAGTTTTGGGTATTTATAGCTTTCTACGTTGCATTCTTAGAGGCTAATTCAACCAAGAGGTGCTGAAGAGTCCTTTGTTTTGTAGAGTTCAGAGATCTTATTGATTAGAAGTTGCAGAGTTTCAAAAACTTCATTTTGACTTCAATGCCTAGAAATATATATCATAATTTTAACACCATACGCACAGTTTATAATAAAATATCCTTTGATTTCCCATGATGGGATCTTGGTGGCCATTCCTCAAGTTGGTTCAGCTTTAAATTGGGGAGAAATGGCAATGTTACAAGCTTTTGAGAAAAATATCTCACGTTGCAGCTGTAGCAAATTTTATATTTGTTGTTGCAATAAAATTTTAGAAATAAATTAATAAATTGATTGACTAATATTTTATCTTGCGTGGCTGCTGGGTTTGACAGCACTTAAACTGAGGTTTGATCAGAGAAATTACAATAGAATAAATTTTAGTTATAGAATAGAGAGAATAGAAGATGGCCGTCATATATTTTTTTACTCTTATTAATGCTAACAGAGAATAAATCCAGAAGTTCTGTGGCTTGTGTTCTCCAACAATCTCCAATGAATGCATTAAGGAGAAATTATTTGTAATGGTTGTATATACTTGTAATTTTATAAAGTTTAATCTTATAAACATAAATATACTATTCACAATCTAAATCGTAAATCTAGAATATTTTTTATCTCATTACAAGTTATGAAGTTATTAAAATCGTCCTCAAATCATTTTCGAACCTCGATCAAATCATGATATAACGATCGTTGGATCCTTTTCAAAACTTCTTTGAATCTCGATTTAATGATCTCCAAATCACGACTGAAACATATTATAACTTGATTTTTAGGCGATGCAACAAATAATAAAATAGCCAAAGAAAGCCCAAGATTGCAAAAAATACTGAGAGATGAGGAGAATTTACTATATCAAATAAGAGATTATAAGTGTAAAGTTTTGCACAAAACAAAAGTAAGGTATTTATAGTTTTAGAAAGACCCCTTTCAAAGAAAACTAACAATTAAATTAATAGAACACGGATTGCGATCTAAAGACTATTATATGCATTATCAAATGCTCAAAACATTTAATCCTTGTGCTCATAATTTTTCTTTAAAACCTCAATCCGCGTGATCTTAATTTATTCATGAGAAAATAAGAGGGACCCACAAAATTCGGGTCACAATTTAGCTACCTCCACCATGACACTAACTTTCACATAGATTAAAAATTATTTTATCATGAATCTCTTAAACCATTATAGGATTTCATCTCCAATGCTTTTCATTTTTTCATTCTTCAAATAGAGATGTGTAGTGAGAGAAAAGGAGTATTTCTAGTGAGAGAAAGCAAGATTTGGAGGCCTTATAACCAATTTAATCTGTCATGTTAGTTGGGAAAGTTGTTTGGCTCTAAGTAGGCTACTGTTAGTCAACTTCTTATTTCAATTTCAATACTTTTTTTGTAAAAATTTGTTATTTTATTTGTCAAAATTTCATAAAAATTCATATCTACGATGATTTACAAACTTTCACCATGTAACTCTATTATATTTTGTAGATTATAATATGCTATTCAAATCGACATAAAAATATTTATTCTTCGTTGGGTATTTTGTGTTATATAATATTTTATATAATTTGCAGCTGTTAAGCCTGAAAAATTTTTCGTAAAACAAAAAATGCTCAAAATTTTATTATGTATAATACATATAAATAGTTTTGTTGATTTTTATTATAGATATATGCAAATTTATTTCACCCACAAATTACATTATTATGTGCCTACTAGTTTGTACTAATTTATATCGTAAGTTGCAATCTTTGATATGTCAAAATTTTTAGCATGTATATGCTTCTGTATCAAAAGTATGTGTCAAATATAATAAACATAGGAGAAATGCAATTAGTTGTGGTTAGGTTGCTATATCTTATGTGCAATCAAGTGAAGTTATAAGAGCTTTTACACCTATATAATTATCTATCAATGTATTTGGTACGTCTGAACATATATGAAAAAGTAGAGGTATAAGAGGTATAAGAAAAATATGAATAAATGAATATATAAGTGGAAGTAGAGGTATATGTGGCGAAGGGAAAATTTTTTAATAATTCAAATAGAGAAATGAATTTTTTTTCATGTAGTATATTATTTTTCTTATGTTGTTACTCAGCATATCACTATTGTAGTTACAATTTCTGGTTCACGCACTGCAATAGATACTACATATGATGTTTTGACATGTTGAATTTGTTTACATTGAATACATGTATATATATTTTTATACATATTGAAAATTGCAGTATGTTTTGAGTAGTCTGCTGAAATATGATTGTTCATCTTTACTTTACTCGCATGTGCTGATTCAAGAAAGGGTAATGCTCGAGTTGAGTAGATACATTGAGATGTTGTTAAGAGTTTGATATTACGTATTTTAGTACATAGATTTATGCATTTGACGGTCATGATGATGTGTGTATTTTGATGATAGAGATATTAAATCATAATTATTGCATATGTCTTCCTTTACTGTATAGTGATATGATCTAAATGAATTTTGAGTATTTTTATTTTACAATACTTGATGATATTAGTGACTTTGTGTTTATGAAAATTGAAGAAAAATAAGTAAATAAGATCTCTTCTAAATAAATTTTGGGTAATAATTTAAAAGTTATGGCCTTGACACGATGTGATCCGCCTCAACATGATGGGTTGCATCGAGTTGGGTCGTAGCACCCATAAACTCATGATGCAATAAAAGAGAGCAATAAAAAATTGTATGGTGCAAAAATAACTAAGAGGCCCGAGATATGAATCAAAGAAGTAATGTTGATATTTTAATAGAAATTATAAAAAAGTATTTATCTTAATTTATTGATCCTAATGCCAGTACTAACATGCTTATATGAATAAAATATAATACACTAATAAAGAAAGTTCTATAAAGGAGATTATCTTTCACAATGAGGATATGTTATAATAGTTATTATAAACTTTTAATAAATATTAACCATTTTTTATAATATTTATTTGTTAACAATCTAAATCTAATAGTTGTAATATACAAACCATTCTTATATTATATACATTATGTTAAATTAATGGCCTAAAGAAATGCTTAGTATTTTTCTGAATTAAATTTGCCTGTGTTTCATCTTTCATGTTATAACAAACATGGAACTAAATTTGAATACTATTTTATATGTTTTCATAATATCTTGGTAGATAAAATTATTATTGAGGCATTAGGGAGAAAAAGTGGTTGATTGAAAATAGAAGTTGACATGAAATAATTGGTAGACCTGAGCAAAGAATGAGGATTATACAATCAATCTTATGTAATTAGAAAAATACTTTTAAAAATAGAGATATTTTTCACCAAAATAAATTAGTTCCTCACCTATAAAGACATTATTTGTCTCATACTTTTCTATGAATGCCATCACTCTTTTAAGATGGCAAGAAATTCATACTTAAAAAATACTTATTATAAATGAGGGTATTTAGTTGATTACCCACCCATTTTAACCTAATAAACTACACTATACAATATGTAGTTGTTCTGCTTTGAGAGTTTGGTAGCACAAATAGAAACATTTAATCAAATCAAACATGAATGATAAGACATATATTCAAATCAAAATGAACATACAATTTGAAAAGAAACAAACAAACAATGACAGTAACGAAGAGTTTACACTTTAATGTCATGCTAAAGATACATTTGTTATGATTTTCTGCAATATTCCATGGTCCAAGTATTGCTAGAGATATTGAGATCTTCTAGCATTTGAACAATGTCGATTAATTCTTCAACGATTCATAAAAGGGGTAGTCAGTGTAGCCAACAACTGGATCAGAAGTGTAGAAAGTAGTTCTATCATACTTATTCAATGGGGCATTTAATTCGTATCTCTTAGGCAGATCTGGGTTAGCTACAAACAAGCGACCAAATGCCACCAGATCAGCATATCCTTCTTGAATGGCCTTATTTCCTTCATCTCGATCATAGCCTCCCGCTGTGATTAAAGTTCCTTTATAGATTTTTCGTATTTCATGAAGGCGTTGAGGAATTTTTAGCTTCCCTTCCTCAAAGGTCATTCGAGGTTCAGTTATGTGGATGTATAGAAGCTCATACTTATTCAATGACTGGGCCATGTAGACCCCAAGTGCATCTGGGTTAGAGTCCCAACAATCAGCCTCGGTAGCGAAGGGAGAGAGTCTAATGGCTACTCTTTCAGCGCCAATCTCTTCCACTATTCCTTCAACAACTTCCAAAGCAAAACGACATCGATTTTCAAGGCTCCTCCCATACTCATCAATTCTATCATTCACACTATCTTTCATGAATTGCTCGAGTATATAACCATGTGCTCCATGTATCTCTACTCCATCAAATCCTACAAGTTGCAGCATTCATGTTAGGCTTCACAGAAATCAATTTCGTAAAATGGAGTCATGCTCCTAAAAAATATGAAATAAGTTGTATATTTCTTATGGATTAACAACAATATTAAATTTTGCACAATTATTTGGACTTGGTTTAGCCAAAGTTATTTTTTCTTAATTTTAAATTATTGATACTTATAATTAGAAGTACCTTATTTCTTACAAAATTTGTGATGGCCGTTAAAAATACAAACTTGTTAAAATGTACAAATAACCTTGAGCTTTAATCCACAACTTGATATTTTAGATCATGGTGCCCACAAGTTTTATGAATGGCTACTCCATGCCCAGTTGTTGAGGTCATTAGCTTAAATCATGAAAAATACCTCCTGGGAAATAAAGAGACATGATTGTGCATATTACCCTTCAAACTTTGTCACATTAGAGAAATCTTGATGCACATGAAATTTTCTTCTTTTAACACCTCTTCTAGTTAACAAAGCATGGGAACCTAATCAATTGCTAGGAATTAATGCCTAGGGATGCAATGCATACATAACCATGACTTTTAACCAAATATAAACATGATTTAAAATCAAATGTGTTATTTAAACACACAAATGCTGGATAGAAATACTTATTCCATTGTTACTGTCAACAAATATTTGATGATAAAAATAAAGGTTGGTCTTATAAGAGAAATTATAGAGATATTTACCAGCTTCGATGGCATTTCTTGCAGCTAGTCTGAAATCATTGATGATTTGTGGTATCTCATTGATTCCAAGCCGACGTGGAGTGGAGTATATTGAAACTGTACCATCATGTTGTGGTTGTGGACTGACTTTTTTCTCACTACTAGAAATAGGAGCTTGTCCATTGGGCTGGTAATCTAAATATCAAAAAAAAGAAAAAAAGAAAAAAAAAATAATAAGAATAAGTAGTGGCTAACTAATCACATCGGAAATTATAAGTTATTTCTCAAACACATTGTTCGTAATGTTATTATGATTCATCTCCTTTATTTTATTTTTCTTGAATGATTATCTTTTCTTTTTCTAGAGACTTACAGCTATATCAAGGCTTCTACCCGTAATAGTCGTCTCGTTTTCTTGGAGAAAAGATAGTTTTCTAGGATGACTTCTTAATCATTAGCCTTATTCAAACTTTGAAAGTTTTCTATGTGGAAACTCATTCTTAAATAACTCGTATAAATTGTTGAATAAGATGTTAAATCTCTTGTATGCCATTTTTTTTCTTTCTTTCTTTATTCTATTCTCTAAATGCAATATCTATCACACATTTTTTTCGTCATCTTCTAACTAATGTTGTGCACATGCAAATCACATAAATTCATCTTCAATGGATGTTACTAGCATCATCAAGTATAAATATAAATTACCAGGTTTACCTTTTTCTTTCTATCATAAATCCACTTTAACATACTCACTTTTATCATATTCATTCTTCATATTGATGTATTTTCTTCCTTAAATATTATTAAGTTTAATAAAATTTAAAAGTTGCTGAGGATATATATACCATAGTTAGAAACTCTTCCCACATGCCAAATTTGGCAAATGAAGATCCCACCCTTCTCATGAACAGCATTGACAATAGGCTTCCATGCCTCCACTTGTTCTTTGGTCCATATACCAGGAGTTCTTGGGTACCTAAACAAATAGAAAAGCAAAAGAAAATTAGAAGAAGACAAAAATACAAATAGTAAAGATTATGCATGATTGAATTATCAGATGTAGAAGAATATTCAACTTCATTTTTAATGTCAAAATTTCTTTTGTAAGAAGTTCTGAATTTAGAGTTTGGATCCTTTTAGAATAATTCTATACTCAGGGGATTAACAATCTGTTTCATACAAGATGTTCAGCTCTTTAACCGTCAACTTACCCTTGAGCTGTGTCGGAAATTCCAGTAGCTTCTGCTATTAAAAGTCCCCCTTTTGTAGCTCTCTGAGAGTAGAATAGAACTGCATGAGGCTGCGGAACATTGTCATAAGACCTGCACCTTGTCAGAGGTGGCAAAACCACCCTGTGAAATACATATAACACAGTAAGTGATAATGTTCAAAGGTTATAAATGAAACATTTATTTAGTTCTTTATTATAGAATCAAAATTAAGTATATCCCATGATTGCAAACCTGTGGGATAAACGAAATTTGCCCAGCTTGTATGGTGTGAGGAGAGGGATCTTTTCTGCAGCAACTGAGCCCATTGTTTCTCCTTTACTTCCCTTTTCTTAAACCTTAGACCGGGAATTAAGCTTTGTCTAGCAAGTTGTAACAGATACAATGCTATTTTAAGAACTTGTTTCGAGTATTTATAGGCTTCAGAGTTGCGTTCATAGAGGCTAATTCAACCAAGAGGTGCTGATGAATCATAGGTATCTTATTATTCCTTGTAATTGCATTTCTAGCCATTTGCTTAGAAGCTGCAGAGTTCCATAAATTTCGTTTTAACTTCTTCCCCCAAAAAATATATCATACTTTTTAACATCCTAAGTACAGTTTATAATAAAATAGTCTTTGATTTCCCATGGTGGGATCTTGGCGGCCATTATTTAAGCTGTTTGAGCTTTGTACTTATCTTTGTTTGTTGAGGTGAGCTTCCATTAGTTTTCAACTATGTTTTGATTTGATTTTTTCTACAGGAAGCTTATTTTGATGGCAATATTACAAGCTTTTGAAAAAAAAAAAATCTCATGTTACAGCTGTAATAAAATTTATAACTGTTGTTGCAAATAATTGTAGAAATAAATAATATTGACATGCGCACTTAAATGTCGATATTTCATCAAGGAAGGATGCATAAGACATGCGCAGGTGGTTGAATATTGAGCCGTGACGAGAGAAATTACCAGAGACTAAATTTTTGTTTTAAACTAGAGGATGGGAGAAGAGGAAATAATATAATTTTAACTGTTTTCATTGATGTTTGTCTTTTAGCCCGTTTATTATTTCATGTTTTTTCATGCAGATTGCCTGGTTTTCCTTTTTTTTTTTCCACCAAAACATAAAAAAAGTAGCATCTGAATTTCAAAGAGATTATTTTTAGAAATAATTGCATTCGTAGCATCCGAAACATAGTTATTAAAACAAAGAACATTTAGGTGATATTCTTGTATTACTGAACTGTTGTATTTATACGTGTCACAATCAAATCATTGTGATTTTGATAAAAATGAGAAACATATCAATCAGTAATAAATGAAATCAGACAGAATAAAGAGTTTCCTTCTTCGCAATACTGCAAAGAAGGAAATATTATATTGACACAGGATTTTTTCCTTTCTGAATATTTAGATTAGGAATATGTGTTGATTAAGTTTTGTAAAATAGATTATACAAAATATTATGTACCTAAAATATATTGTACAGACTATTATTTATTGGAATGAAAGCAAAAGAAAATGCATTCAACATATTTGCTCAAAATATTGACATAGTATCAGAGCCAAGTAGAATATTTAGGATCTGAATCTTTGGAGTCGTCTGCTTCGCTTGGAGAGCTCGTCATGTTCGCCTAAACCATCGTATGCCCTAAATGCTTCCTATGTGTCGCTCGATCGCTTATATGTTCAATTGCTCGAACTGTCGCTTGTCGCTCGATATGTTCACCTACCGTTCGACTATCGCTCGCTGCTTGATATGTTCGACTAACACTCGATCTCGAGTTATTCACCTAGAGAGCTCGAGCAGTTCGCCTGCCGCTCAACTACTAGATTACTACTGCGACTGCATCGCCCGCTCTGCCCTGCAAGGCCCGGACCACACCGCTCGCTCATCTATCGCTTGCCTCTCATCTGTTCGACCACCGCTTCATCCGCCTCGACCACCTCTATTCTCGTCCACTTGGCTCACTTCGTCTGCTTCTGCTCCGATGACATCGGCTGTATCTTCGGCTTTGGTATAGTCGGCATATTTCAACGTCGATATACTTCCTAGATAGTCGCACTCAAAGATCGCGGGCTTTAGCTTTGGCTTCGAACTCCTCTCCTAGTGCACGATTTTTTTGAATCTCTTAGGTTGATTTAGATCAATGATTGGGATTTTTTTTATATCTTGGCTCTCTTTGATTTCTGATTGATCTCATTCAACGACAATTCTATTTAGAATGTATTGTGAAATCTTAACTATCAGATTTACCGAAAAAATTATGTCGCATGGGAATTTCAGCTCAGAATGTTCTTAAAAGGGAAGGAGCTTTGGGGTCATATTGATGGGTCTTCTCCAGCACCTACTGAGACAAAAGATCTCGGTCAACGAGAAGCAAATAATGCTCGGATTGTTTCCTAGATTTTGGAATTTATTGAGGCTCATATGGCGAACAATTTACGATCCTTGAGCACAACTAAAGAAATGTGGGAATAATTGAAGTGTGTTTATAATCAAGATAATTTTGTGAAACGCTTCCAATTAGAACTTGAATGAGTAATTATAGTTAGGGTAATCTTTCAATTGAATAATATTATTCCGGCTTTCTAAATTTATGGAGCGAATATAATGACATTATCTATGCTAATGTGTCACAGAATAACTTAAATAGTCTTTAAGTTATTCATGAAGAAAGTCATCGTGATCAGTTTTTAATGAAACTCAAACCTGAATTTGAAATGGCTCGGGCTGGGTTGTTCAACAGAGATCCAGTTTCTTGTTTGGATATTTGTTTTGGGCAATTACTGCACGAAGAACAAAGATTGGTGACATAAGCTGCTATCAGTAGAACAGGTGGATCATCAGAGATAATTAATATGACATATGTTGTTAAGACCAAAGGGAAGAGATCAGTGCGGTGCTACAGCTGCAAGAAATTTGGTCATATTGCATAGAATTGTGAAAATAAGGTATGTATTTATTGCAAGCAAAAGTGACATATTCTTATGGAGTGCCTTACACGACCCCAAAACCGCAAACCACAAGCACTTCATGCCACAATATCCGACACTCACAATCATATCTCGACATCCACAATTGCCAGTTGCTGGCAATAGTCAATCAGTTGTCACATCAGATATGGTTCAACAGATGATTCTCTCTGCCTTTTCTGCTCTTGGCCTTCAAGGGAAAGGTAAAACTATTACTTTCGTTTCTTCTCCTTGGTTTGTTGATTCAGGCTCCACGGGTCTGGTTTGAAAAGTTTCACAATACTCTTCTTAGCTTCTCTTTTATTCAAAGTCAGTATGATTCATCATTATTTCTTTGCAAGATTGATAAAGAGATTGTTTTGTTATTAGTCTATGTTGATGATATTGTCATCACAAGATCTGACAATCAATTGATGTTTCAGCTACAAAAATGTCTTCAGGGTTCTTTTCATATGAAAGATTTGGAGTCATTAACTTATTTCTTAGGACTCGAGGTTCACTCTTCTCCCGCTGGTGCTTTTCTTCATCAGCACAACCATACGAAGAGACTCATTGCTTTGGCTGGTCTTCAAGATGGTCATTCTACTGATACTCTTTTGGAAGTAAATGCCAAATATCAACAGAATGATGATGACTTTCTATCTGAATCATCTCTATATCGACAACTAGTTGAGAGTCTCAATTATCTGACCATTACGCGTCCTAATATTTCATTTGTTGTGCAACAAGTTAGTCAATTTATGCAAGCACCTACACATATTTATTTAGCAGCAGTTCGACATATTATTCAGTATTTAAAAGGTTCTTCTCATCTTGGTTTGTTCCTTTTTGCGCAGTCTCCAATCAACTTAACAACCTATAGTGATGTTAATTAGGTTGGTTGTTCTAATACACGCCAATCTATTACTAGATGGTGCACATTTCTTGGAAACTCTTTAATCTCTTGGAAGAGCAAGAAACAAGATCGAGTGTCTAAGTCATCTACTAAATCAGAATATCCCACTATGTCCTCTGCTTGTTCCGAGATCATTTGGCTTTGGGGTGTGCTGACTGAATTTGGTTTTTCTCAACTTAATTCTACTTCTCTTAATGCAGATAATACTAGCGTTATCTAGATTAATGTTAATCTAATCTTTTATGAGCGCACGAAACACATTAAAGTGAATTGTCATTCTATTCGAGAAGCCTATGAGAATGGTGTTATATCTCTTCCTCATATCACTTCTGATCTTCAAACGACTGATATATTTACTAAGTCTATTTCTCAACAGCGTCATCAATTTCTTGCTGGCAAATTGATGCCTCTTGATCAGCCAGCATCAATTTGAGGAGGATATCAATCAGGAATAAATGAAATCAGACAGAATAAATAGTTTCATTCTTCGCAATGCTGTAAAGAAGGAAATATTATATTTGCACTGGATTCTTTCCTTTTAGCTGAATATTTAGATTAAGAATATGTATTAATTAAGTTTCCTAAAGTAGATTATGCAGAATATTATGTATCTAAAATAGATTTTACATACTATTATTTATTGAAATGAAAGGAAAGGAAAATACATTCAACCTATTTGCTCAAAATATTGACAAAATATGGGTTGGGGATTTATCATAAATTTTAATATTTGAGTGAGAATTTAAAAAATGGATGAAGGAGGGCGTTAGATTTGTAAAGCATAATGTTTAGGGTGTTGATTTGAATATGTTCACATTCTAATCCCTAAACCAAGAACATCATTTAATATCATACTACATGTTATGAACTTGTTGAAATTATCTTCAAACAATTTTTGAAGTATAATTGAAATATCTTAAAATCATGATTAAACAATTTTAAAATCATTTTTTAAAACATTTTACAATCTTGATGGAAATGTCTTTACATCATGATTGAATCATGATTGAAACAACCTTACACCATAATTGTTTTGTATTCGAATATGAATATACCATGGTTAAACCAATTTTGACTCATATTTCAACTTATTGGCCAAATGAGCCCGTGCCATTTTATAGATTTTAGATCATGAATCAAACAAATGAATTGAGGATATATATATTTTGTATGTTAAGTAATTATAAAAGAATAAGTGCACCATGAGTTACATAAAAAAAAATAGTGCTTTAGAATGTGAACTTATGTTGCATTTCTTGTATTGAAAGTAATCAACATAATATATTGAAGGGATTTGATGCAAACAAACAAGGATGAAGTTACTTTTAGTAAAAAGAAAAAAAATAGGTACCACCTTAATCAAGCCATTGTATTATGCTTGTAATACTATAACATGTTTTCAAAAATTATTTAGAATCTTAGTAATAATTAACTGAAAGAAGATTCAGATAACATGGTTTTAAACTTATGTAAGAAAATGTTAAGGGCCTCTTTGAATCACTTCCAATTTTTTATTTTTATTTTTATTTTTAGTCTATTTTTTATTTTTAGAAAATATGTTTTGTATTGTTATGATTTATAAGTTTTTTTCTTAAATAAAATAAAACATATTTGGTTGAGTATTTTTATTTTCTTAAAGAAAAAAATTATACTTTCTCATGATGAACCCAAACAAACAAGGCTTAAAAATTAAATTGTACAAATGGTCTCATACCAAGGTTCATGTAGGTATCCTTAAAAGTATTATGATGCCATGATAAACTTAAGAGATTATGAAACATAATTGTATTAAGTCTCCTTCAACGGATGCCCACAAAAAAATTTCATGCCTCCAAAATGCCAAGATATAAAAATATTTAGTGATAGTTTGAGAGCTCTTTTTATTTTTATTTTAAAAAAAATAGAAAATAAAGAGAGATTTACGAATATGTCACATAAAACCTTATTATTTCACATAAAATCTTATTATTATCAGACAAAGCCTCAAAATTTTAATTTACCCGTGTCTCACCCAGAACTTTTTCTCAAACCTCCCCATTTCAAAGGGTTCATCATGAGAAAAAATATTACATCAGGACTCTGCACATGGAATTATGTGTGAAGTCAAATGTAATTACGCTACGTTACTCCCGTGTTATTCAGGTGTTATCGTGTGTTATTCAGGTGTTATTATGTGTTATTCAAGTATTATTAATGTGTTATTATAATACCGAAAATATTATTAGAACAAAATAGTTTGAGAGCACTTTTTATTTTAAAAAAAATATAAAATAAAGAGAGATTTACGAATATGTCACATAAAACCTTATTATTATCAGACAACGCCTCAAAATTTTAATTTACCCGTGTCTCACCTAGTACTTCGCCTCAAACCTCCCCATTTCAAAGGGTTCATCATGGGAAAAAATATTACATAAGGACTCTTGCACACGGAATTATGTGTGAAGTCAAATTTAATTACGTCACGTTACTCCCGTGTTATTCAGGTGTTATTGTGTGTTATTCAAGTATTATTGTAATACAGAAAATATTCTTAGAACACAAAAACACTTAAATAATATACAATAACACCACTAAAAAAATATTTCTTTGCCGTACCGGCCTGATCACGGATTATTTCATTGGACTCGGGAGACCTGATATAATATTTTTTCATTTCCAAGGTTTCGTCATGGAAGCCATCGGCTTTTTAGAAGCAGGAAAACAAAGCCAGGCAAACACCATCCTCACCTCCCGCCTTGTCCTTCACAATAGGTTGGCATTACTCTCAACTAGGGCTGGTCTTCTTCTTCCTTCATCTCCTTCTGAGTTGACTGGCGACCCGACACCACTCTCAACTAAGGCTGAACTTCTCTTCCTCTTCCTTCCTCTCCTTCCCAGTTGGTCGGTGACCCAACACCATTCCCAACTAAGGCTGAACTCCCCATTTTGAAGGGTTCGCTGTTGAAGCCATCAGCTCGTCGAAGCCGGAAATCAAAGCCAGGTAGCCACCATATTCGTCTTTCTCCTCCTTCCCAGTTGGCCTGCCTATGGTATGTAATATGAGTTATGCATGTAAATGCCCTTAAATTTAAAAGATTTGTACTTTCTGTTGTGTCTATGGTAGATAATATGGATTGAATTTTGATTGGCTGTAAATACAAAAATTTATGTTGTTGTCATGTTTCCTGGCAATGAGAATGATATAAAGTTTATAGTTTTATCTGCTAGAGTTGATTTGAGCAGTTTATGTAAAAATTTTGGCAGGTTGCATGATTCCCTTAGAAATATATTTTTGGTTAAAATTTTGTTATTGGAAGAAATTGGAGACCTTCAAATAGCATTCATGTGTAAATTTTGATGTGAAAAAAAGTAAATTCAAAAGTATTATGTAGTAAAAGATGATATTTTAATTGACCCGCATTGATAGCTAATAATCATGAACCTTTTATAAGAATTAATATGTTGGTGGATTTCTTCATATTTTCATAGATTGAACTATTTTGGTGCAACCATCAACAGTCAAGATATTGGTTGAAGGGCGCTATTATTATAGGCAAGCTATAGATCTCATTCACGTGAATTGTCTATGAGTTAAAATATTGATAATATACAATTTGTGATTTTGTTTAGATTGATGTAAATTTAATGAAATGAAATTTCAGTTTGCATTCTCATTGTTTTAAGTCTACTAATGTGCAAGATGCTATCAAGAAGGTTGATGACTTGAATCCTGAGGTAAATAAATCATTTGATAATTTAGATGATTTTGAGACTAATTCATCTTGACTTGGACATTCATGGGATAAATAACCTTTTGAACAATATAAAGTCTTTGTTAGTAAACCTCATTTAAAGGTAGGAAACTCCTTTTGATTTCATCCTTTGGTAAAGATAATGATTGATCATCGAACACATAAAAACATTTGTTCGTTAATTCAAAAAGAACACATGGATGATTAATTTATGAATATCAATATTTCAGGCGGTGTTATCCCTTATAAAAAAAGAGTCAAAACCCCTCCGACATAGTTACATAAACTTTCAATCAAAATGATTGGCTTTTAAAAATAGAGATATTTTTTGCCAAAATAAATTAGTTCCTCGCCTATGATATTTTTCTTATATTTGTCTATGAATGCCATCACTCTTTTAAGATGGAAAGAAAGCCATATTTAAAAAATACTTATAATAAATGAGGTTTTTTAGTTGATTACCCACCTATTTTAGCCAAATAAACTACATCATACAATATGTAGTTGTTTTGCTTTGATAGTGTGGTAGAACAAATAGAAACATTTAATCAAATCAAACAAGAATGATGATATATATATATTCAAATCAAGATGAACATACAATTTGAAACATAAACAAACAAACAATGATTGTAACGAAGAGTTTACAATTTAATGTCATGCTAAAGATACATTTGTTATGATTTTCTGCAATATTCCATGGACCAAGTATTGCTAGAGATATTGAGATCTTCTAGCATTTGAACAATGTCGATTAATCCTTCAATGATTCATAAAAGGGGTAGTCAGTGTAGCCAACAACTGGATCAGAAGTGTAGAAAGTAGTCCTATCATACTTATTCAATGGGGCATTTAGTTCATATCTCTTAGGCAGGTCTGGATTAGCTACAAACAAGCGACCAAAAGCCACCAGATCAGCATATCCTTCTTGAATAGCTTTATTTCCTTCATCTCGATCATAGCCTCCTGCTGTGATTAAAGTTCCTTTATAAATTTTTCGTATTTCATGAAGGCGTTGAGGAATTTTTAGCTTCCCTTCCTCAAAGGTCATTCGAGGTTCAGTTATGTGGATGTATAGAAGCTCATACTTATTCAATGACTGGGCCATGTAGACCCCAAGTGCATCTGGGTTAGAGTCCCAACAATCAGCCTCGGTAGCGAAGGGAGAGAGTCTAATGGCTACTCTTTCAGCGCCAATCTCTTCCACTATTCCTTCAACAACTTCCAAAGCAAAACGACATCGATT